CAAACATTGTTTTTATTAAACTAATGAACTGCAGCCTGAGGAGAGCCGTGAGGATCACCACATCTGTGTGTGTTTATCACAGCTACAGCTTTTGCCTGTCACATTGTTCCTCTGTTAGAAATGTTGGCTAAATGAGGTTTTTCTGTATTTTACTGCAGTCATTCCTGCTTGGTGTAAATGAAGTTGTTGGCACTGCTTTTCACTTGCATCATGCTCCTGCCTACAGTATCTCTCTGCTGTCACTCTGGTAGGAATAGGCTGGTGAGACAGGAATTTCGGAATGCACAGTGTAGTGTCAGGGCCAGGCTGAAGGAGCCCAGCAGCAGCACAAAACCCTTGGATCAAAATCCATTCTGCCTCTATTGGTGCAGCACAGGCTGATGTTCTGCAAGCCTGGAGTAATCATGGGGCAAAAATAAAGAACCAACTGTGCTCTCCTGCCTCCTCATGTAATGTGATTACCATCAGAGGAGGAGATGGAAGCAGCTGAAGGAACAAATCCAAAACTTCCCTGAGACACCATGGCAACCAGCCCTGGCAGGGACAGCAGGAAGCAGAAACATTTCAAAATAAAAATTGCTTTGAATGACCTTCTGTTTGCTGAGGGCTGGGTGCCTGCTTCAGTCCTGATGGTCACAGGGACAGTTTGAGATGTTCAGGGTGTAGTGCAAGGCTGAGCCTTCAGGAGACTGGAGAGAAGGAACAGGGTGTGGAAAATGCTTCAGTATTTGGATCCCACAGATGTGCTCGTGCAGCAGAATGGAGGTACTGTTTACAGGTTACCTTGGAGTGTAGTTACAGCAATGTCAGATCTTGGGAGCCAGAAGGATGTTCCTGCTCTGTGAGAATGGTGAAGAATGGTAGTGCTGGGTGTGTCTATGAAATTTAGAAGTAATCTTGTGTACGTGTTTTGCTCACAGCAGGGATTTGGGGAGCATTCTCCTGGCAGCACCTATGTTATTTCTAGAAAGATTTTATGGCTCCTCACTGCAATACAGCCTTCACATCTGGTGCAGCTAATATATGTTGCACTAAAAAATGTCCCTGATGAGTTATATCTGCTTAAAATACTTTTTCAGAATAATGCATGTTCCATTTCTTCTTGAAATTTACCCTGCACAAATGAGCCACCTGGGTTACCACAGCTCTTAAGGATGTCTTCTTCCATTGTTTTATTTTAGAATGATTTTTAGATACAACATTTGCAGCATTCTGCATTTAAAAACCAGGCTAAACTGGACCTGCAAGTAAGTGAGTCTGTTATTTGGGAAGAATAATGTGAATTATGATATGATTTCAGGTTGACCACGGGGATGCACCGTCTGAAGCCAACAATGAGCCCAGGCCAACACCAGCAGAAAATGGGGTCAATTTTACTGCCTCCCTCACACCCAAACCAGCTACTCAGGTTGTGCACAGCCAGCCAGCACCAGGTAAAAAATAACAAACAAAACAAAGGAAAAGAGGAAAAAAAAGTCCCATCTTTTCTAAATTAGTCTGGGTAATAATTTTTCAAGTGCTTTGTGTTTAAAGAACAAAGGTGGGGAATTGTGTGTGTTTGTTTTGTTTGTCTAAAATAAGTAGAAACTTTCCCACCACTTTTCTCTGCTTCAAATATACAAATATCTTCTACTTAACAGTTGCATTGGTGGTGGAACTGAAATTCTTTATGAGCAAGAAAATGTGCTGGGGTTTTTTTGTTGTTGCTGCAGGTGCAGGAATCTCTTGGAATTGTTTTTACACTGTGCCTAATTCATGCACATGGTGACATCTTACTCCACACTCAAAACCCAGTGTTAGGCACTGGTGTGCTTTGTATGGACACATCTCCTGTAGAAAATGCTTGTTAAACACCATGTTTAGGATTTTATGGCTGCAGTATCTCTAGGCAGCTCACAAGGAGCTGGGTTCATGCTGTGTGCAGGCATTCTGCACTGCCACACACTGTGTAATGTGGTTGTACTGTCAGCCTAATGCCACTCACATGACTCCTGTGAGCAGTGTCAGGGAGTTCATCCTCCTTGTCACTAACACAGCTCAGCTGGGCTTTTGGAAGGTCACCTTTCTGTCCTGGGCCACAGGGGGGAGGACATCTTCATGTTGCTCCTCTCCTGCTCAAAAGATGTGTTTTCTCCAATGATTAAAGTCTGCCCATGTCAGGCTGTGTCCTGTGTCACCTGCCATGTTCTAACCCTCAAGCAGCACAGGCATGGCTGTTGTTTTAAAAGAATTGGAATTAAACATCTCTTTTACCTCTAGGTTCTGTGAAAGCACCTGCAAAGACAGAAGATCTTATCCAGAGTGTCCTCACAGGTAATACATACACAGGTCACACTGAAAGAATGATAAGCTTTCTTGTCAAGAAAAACATCTTTTTTGTGAAATAGGCACCTGGCTTAGGCATTTCTTCCAGTGAGTAGGACTGCAGTAACTCCTAGAAAATGCACATGCCAAGTGTTCTTCCTCAGGGCTGAAGTAAACTGTGTTTGGGCACATCTCATGAGATGGGTGCCAACAGGGAATTTTTAAGGAGTTGTTGTGGTTTCATGACCACCAAGTTACCATCTAAGCCAGAAAAAAGAGCAGCGTTATTGTGAGAACAGAGGCTGAATTTGTAGTGAATGTAGTGAATACTGGTGGAACCCTTTTGTCACAGTGCTTTCAATCCAGTTAGCTTATTGCAGGTAAAACTTCTCAGTTTATGCCATGTTTCCTTCACCCCCAGCAAACAAGCAGGTTTTGTTCATTCCTGCTCATGGCAATCCCTGGCTCCTCTGACTGAAATCCTGCATTGCTGGAAAGCTGAAGTGCCTTTTGTGATTGTCATTGCAGAAGTGGAAGCACAGACCATCGAGGAGCTAAAGCAGCAGAAGTCCTTTGTGAAGCTCCAGAAGAAGCACTACAAGGAGATGAAGGACCTGGTGAAGAGGCACCACAAGAAAACCACTGACCTGATCAAGGAGCACACGGCCAAGTACAACGAGATCCAGAACGACTACCTGCGGCGGAGGGCCGTGCTGGAGAAAACTGCCAAGAGGGACAGCAAGAAGAGGTGGGTGAAGCACCCCTCCTCAGCACTGGCTGCTGGAGACCTTTCCTCAGACTCCTTGGCTTCTCTTAGGGCACAGAAATCATACAGAGGGGGCAGAGCACAGAGAAAATGCAAAGCAGCAGGTTCCTGGTTAATGGGGGAGATGAGGGCCACGGCTCCATGGTGCAGCCCTGGAAAAGCTCAGGCCACAGGAGAGGGCACCAGGTGTGGAATTAGGGGAAAGAAGCACCTGGAGACTGTAAACACCTGACTGCTGTTAAATCATGATTGATCTGGAACACCTGGGAGTGTCCTAACGACTGCCTGGCTTTGCCTCTGCAGGAACACCCCTTCTGTGCTTTCTCTTTCCAAGCCTTGCACCACCCTCTCCCTTTCTCTGTCCTGATACAATTTTTGTATTAGTGATTTATTAACTATTATTATCAATTTAAATGCAAAAAACTGCAATGAATCCTTACTAACCTTTCCACAATGATTGCCTTGTTCTTATGGAAAGGAGCTGTATGTTAATTAAGATCAATTCATAACTCCTGGCAAAGCATGTACATACACAGAGCCAGTCAGTGCCCGAGACTCTTGTAAATGAACTTTTTATTTCTCCCATTGGTGCATCCTTTTTGTCTTAACAACATTTATTTTTTTCAAGTAACTAGATAAGCACTAAAGTCCTCTTAACTTTGACATGAGATTGATGGAGCTGCAGCTCTTAAATATGATGATATTGAACAAACTTTTAAAAAAATTACTTTTTGGGCGGAGATATCAGAGAAAAAAGCTGCAAGCCTGCTCTGGCTGCCAACCTTGTTGATGGTACCTCTAAATGTAAGTGACTGGGACTCAGGCCATGCTTGTCCCTGGACAGGAGCTTATTCATTTCTGCCTTCCTGATGACAGAATGTCATTGGCCTTAATAAGAGCTAGACACTCACAATATATCTGTGTTCTGCTGGCCTTCACTACTGCCAGCTTTCAGGCTTCCAGGTTCTGTACTTGAGTGTAACAAACTCCCTTTAATGGCTGGCTGTCAGCTGCAAGCCCAGGGATATTTTATCTGCAGTGTTTTCCACCACCAAAGTGGGTGACAGTGGCAGGCAAAACAACAGCATGTTTCTGCCTTTCCTCCTATTCACATTTAAGCAGAAAATCAAGCTGGATGAATAAAATGACTCATTTGTTTTTGAGCAAAAAAGGGTTTGAGGTTTTTTTGCTGTGTTGTGATCTGACTGCAAACCACTGCTGATGTCAGGCAGCAAAACCCTGCAGTCTCCTACGTGGAGCTGCCTCAGTGGTGTCAGAGACCTGGAGTTTTATGTACAGAAACAGACAAATCTGGAGGTTACATTTCAAAAAAGGCACAAATATGTTTTCAGGGATTTTCAAGCTTGCAACTACATATTATCTCAAGCAGCAGACTTCTAATAGAGCACAGGAGAAAGGGGATTTTTTTATAATTTTAAATTATTGCTGATGTTATTTGCCTGTAACTGCAAAGTATAAATCACTACCTCACAGGAGTCCCTGTCTCAGATGGCCATAAAAATGTGTTGTCTCTGGTCAGGAGCAATCTCTGCTTTTTGCCCTTGTCTAAAACTGAGCCAAGATTCAGTAAAGCCTGAATTGTCTGCAGGAAGTTTGAAATATTTATTTATACACGTGCACTAGTGTTTTGTTGGTGTTGCTCTGAAGTTTCTTTAATGATCACATCCCATAAAAAGCAGCCAGTATTTCAGCCAGTGTTTAGAAATAGGCCTGATTCCTTTTTCCCAGAAACACAAGAGAAATGTCAGCTTTAAAATATGTGTTGTGCAATGGCATCAAATGCTGACTGTAATATTCATTCATGCTGTCTTCTGGCTCTGTAATGTTTAAATTACCCTCACCCAGCACACTTAACCTCGTACCAGAATATTCAAACACAATCAAAGCACAAGAAATAAAAGGAGGCTACCTTGGCACTGGTGTCCTCGGAGGGATGAGAGCAGGATCACATTATTTCAGGAGAGGTAACTCTGAGTGACAGCAGCTGCACACTTGAACCTGGGAGAGAGGAGAGGCAGAGCCAGCTCTCTGCATTGGAGTCTCTGCACATTTCTGAGGAGCAAACTCATTTTTCTCCTGTGTCAGCCCTCCCTGTTCAAGGTTTTGTTGTTTTGTCCATCTCCTGCGCTGTTCTGACGTTTCCCAGGCAACTGATTTAGCACCTGAGCATGGCAGCAAACACAGCAGCAGGGCAGGGACACAGCAGCATCTCATTTCTGTAATGTATTTTCCTTGGGTTTCCTTCAGTGCTGGCCTCAGACTGATACTGGATTTGCTGTTTATTTTTCTCTTGGGCATTTTAGTGTCATCTCCTTTCACAGTTACATCTGTCCTTCCTTCTGTCTTAAGAAAGAGTAAAAGAGATCCAAACTGTTCCTTAGTGTTGCTTTTTAGCTTCCTTCCTGTGTTTCTGCCTTGCTCCTGGGAGCTGCCTGTGTGAGGTTTGCTCCCCACTGGGGTGTGAGCTTTCCTTCTGAAGGCAGCAGCCCAGGGAGCACTTTGCTGTGTGTGCTATGCATGGCATTTCCTGAAGGGGGGACAAAACACCAAATAAAGGGATGTTCCTGCCATGGCAAGCATTTGGTAAATGCAGATGTAAGGTTCAGCTTTTAAATTTATTGCTGAGTGCGTGCAGGGATGACTTTGTTTGCAAAATACTCAGCATTCACCCCTTCTGCTGAAGGCTCTGCAGCTTTGAAGTTCAGGTTATGTCTGGAAGGGGGCAAACAAGTTCCATGGGAAGTCTTGGCACTTGCCTTTATAGCTCACTAAACAGAGTCTGGTTGCCACCACCCTGGTGGGTCAGTGGGATGAGGTTTAAAAGATGCAGCCATCCCATTAATAAATCATTAATAGCTTCTCTTTAATTAAATGCTTGCCCTTCCTAGGGCTAGAATCACCCATCTTCTTGCTGTGTGTGTGGTGCTGAGGAACTCGTTAACAGGCTGTTCATAAAGATCTGCCTTCAAGGGGCAGGTGGAGCCACGTGGAGGCAGGGTTGGTGCCTGGTGACCTGTGCTGTGTCCCTGCAGGTCTGAGACCAGCAGCCCTGACCACAGCTCCTCCACCATCGAGCAGGAGCTGGCTGCCCTGGACTCTGAGATGACCCAGAAGCTGGTGGAGCTGAAGGAGAAGCAGCAGCAGCAGCTGCTGAACCTCAGGCAGGAGCAGTACTACAGTGAGAAGTACCAGAAGCGGGAGCACATCAAGCTGGTAGGTTTGAGCTCGGGGGGGCACTGGGGGCACCAGGACAAGTTCTCATCAGCTGGGGCTTCCTCCTGCCTGGGGTCCCTTCCAGAGCCCCACTTCTCTGCTCTGCTGCAGCTCCAAGGGGCTGCTGGGTCACTGTGCCACTTCCAGCAGCTTGGAGGGCTTTGGGTGCAAGGCACAAGGGCAGCAGCAGCATTGTTGCTACCTCTGGTTACATAACTCTCGTTTTACTGCAGCTTTTGGATGAAGTTCCTGTTGTGTTCTGCCACTTTTCCAAACCTGCAACGCACAAGGAGGCAGGATTAGCCAGAAAATAAATTGAAACACCATGAAAATAGATTGAAACATTCCCCAGGACAGAGGGTTGTGCCAAAGAGTGTTCCTGTGACAGATGAACACTCTGAGGGGATGCAGGACATCTTCTGGGTATGGTGAAGAAATATTTTGCATTCCTTGGTCCAAGTCAGCTTTGTTTTTACAGCTGGAGTTTGGCTGACAACTGCAGCAGGATCATAGGCCCTCTGAGCTGAAACAGACGAGCTGGGCAGATGGAAGCTGATGCTCATGGATATTAGGCAGAAATGAACATTTTTAAAGGGTTTTATGGGAGTGCAAGCTGTTTCTCAGCTCCACACAACCCCCTCTTGCAATTTTTTCTATTACCTGATGTTTTGCCTCCCTCTTGCTGGGTGATTTGTCTCCTCTGTCCTGGCAGCCACAAAGAGCAGGTAAGAGGAGTGATTTGTGATCTGTGTGCCCTGCACAGGCTGATTTCCATGGTCACAGCACAGAGCTGGGATGTTTGTCCCCATCCCTGTGTGAGTCACAGTGCTCCAGGGTGGGTGGGTGTACGTACCCACCCCTGGGGGACAGTCCCCATCCCACTGACAGCTGGTGGCTGCTTCTCAGAGATTTGGATTTTTATAAAAAGAACCATTCTAGACCCACATAGTTGGCTTTATCTCCTGAGGTAACTCATTTCTCATTCCAGAATGGGGAATGGCATTTCTCAAAGCCAAGGTACATTTCTGCCATTATCCTGTTGGGTGCTGGCACAGTAAATTCATTTTTTAGCACAGAACTTTTGGGCAGGTTTCCCTCTGAGCTGTGCAGGAGTTAATATACCAATTCAAACTTCCCTTTTGAGCTGAGAGATTCTCTCTGATGGCTTTATTTTAGAGGAGAGCCTATTGTTGGTACCTTTCTGCTTTTATCTAAGGAATGAAAAGTTGGATTGGAGCAGCTATGCCTTGTTATCCACTCCTGGTTCATCACCCTGGGAGGGTGATTTTACAAAATCAGACTTTACCTAAAAGGGTGATCAAACCAAGAGGGCCCCAATTCCCACTTTATTCCCTGAGCCCTGCCCACAGCTCCCCTCCTGTCAGCATCCCCAGCACAGCCGTGCCTTTTGTTACTGCTTTGGGCACCAAGGAGAGCAAACCCACAGCAGATTTCAAACAGTGGCTCAGAGATTTTTTTCCTTCTGCGAACAAAATTTAGGTTATGCTTTTCTGTGCTTGCCTTTCATACCCATTATGTCTGATTTTCACCATCCCCCTGACCACCCCAAAATCCAAAGCATTCCTTGTAATAATCCAAAGCATTCCTTGTAATAATCCTCATTACAGGAGGAACATTTCAGCCCTCACAGAAAAACTGGATGTTCTGTGACACAGGAACTCAGTTGGCAATTAGCATTGTGTAAATTCCATTTGTGACCCCTTATGTTTTTTCACAGGCATTTTCATTCCTAGCAAAGGTAAAATACTTGAACTATATTTTGGGTTTACAGTTAGTGTTGTGAAAGTGTGTCACCTCGATGTACAGAGCAGTAGCAGTTTCTGGGTGAGTTGGACATGCACCATTCTGGCTGAACTCCACAAGTTGATCATGTGTTTACACTGATAATGATGTTTGCTGGCTTTTGATCGTTGGTAATTCATCTGGGAATGGTGTAACACTTCCCTGTCTGCTGCAGGCTTTTCAGGAAATTTAGCTGCCTCTGTGATGTTTAGCTGAAAATATGTATTTTTATTTTTGGGGTTTTTTTCCTAGCTAATTCAGAAGCTGACAGATGTAGCAGAGGAGTGTCAGAACAACCAGCTAAAGAAACTGAAAGAAACATGTGAAAAGTAAGTGCTGTTCCCTTTACCACTGACTGCTGCTGCTTGTGGGATTTGTTTAGATACTTTTTGTACTCCCCTTTATTTTTATGCTTTAGAGAAAAGAAAGAACTGAAGAAAAAAATGGACAAGAAGAGGCAGGAGAAGATCACAGAAGCAAAGTCCAAGGATAAAAATCAAATGGAAGAGTAAGTAAATCCCTGGATCCATATCACTGCGCGGGATTTTTCACAGCTGGTAAATCAAAGGAAGGTCTTGACCCTAAATCCAAGGCAGCCTTCAGTCAGACCTCCCCAGAGTCCTCTCCCTGATAATAATTTCATTTCCTGGGGCTGATCCAATCTCCTGTTCATGAGCTTTACTTTAGGGCAGTTAAAAATACAAGAGGAGCAAACAGAACAAAACAAAAAAGGAAACCCTCTAGTGTTTGAGTTTTACCATGTAACAAAGGCACAACTGTGCTTGGCTTTCTGCAGGTGAAAGGGTTTACACAGGGTCTGGAGCCTCTCAAGAGAGAATCTGTATTTGGTAGCCATGAAAGGAAATCACAGACACACACAGTGAAGGGTTTCAGGTAGTTTCAGGATCAGCACATTAAAAATATCAATAAACATCCTATTAAAAAAAAATAAATATGAGAATAATTTATTATGAAAATGAGGAGAAATAGTTAACATAGTTAGAGCTGTTCAGATGGCATGGAATTCATTTTAAAGAAAGCAGCTGGCCATTACGGAAATGCTGCAGCAGTAAAAATCAATTGCAGGAGGAAATGATTTGCTGAGAGGTAAATGAGGCACTGGTGACAAAGGCTCAGGGACACACAAGTAGCAGTTCTTTTCTCTTTCCCTTTTTTCCTCATTTTTCCCAAGGACTTTCCTCTGTCAGGCTTTTCCAAGAGCCCTTGAGAGAGGTGAGATGGGAACCCTATTGAAAGTCAGCTTTCCCCTGTGTGTGCCACAGCCTGTCCTCACTTTGGGAGCAGGGTGTGAGACCTTCCTCCTGCTGAATCCCTTCTGAGTCTCTCTGGCTCCACTGCTGCTCATCTAAAGCTTCTGCATAAATTTGGGAAGGAATATTACAGAGAGAGAATAATCAGTTGTTTTAGTTGTTCTTGATTTGTTGACACCCACCCAGGGCTTGCCTAAATCCTCCTGATTTTAGTGCCACCTGAGGGGCAGTGCACTGGTCCTGACTGAGGCAATCAGGATTTGGGGTGACTGTCCTGAAACAGATCAACTGCAGCAGCCACAAATTGTTATTGTGTGTGTGCATTTACCCCTCTGGGGGTTCTTGTGCCCAGCCTTTGACTGAGGCTTCCCAGATAACTCTCTGAGTGTGCCATAAAGCTCAGTTTGCCTAAACCCAGCTCTGTGGGGGCCAGGCTGTGCCTGCCCTGCTCCCCTGGGAGCTTGGTGCCAGTGTCAGCAGCACAGCCTGCCCTGGCAGCACAGAGGCTGCTGCTCTGCCACAGCGTGGCACTGTGCCCCTGCTCACAGCTCTGCAGCTCCCAGGCACGCTGGGCACTGTGGCAGCACCTGGAAAACACAGCACCATCCCTTGGGGAGAGCAGGGGCTGGTGTGGGGCACGCTGAGCCCTTGGTGCCGTAAGGAGCAGCTGGCACAAGGACACGATCTGGGAGTGCGGAGAAGGAGATCAGGCAGGTCCTTGAGCATGGCCTGGGTGAGGCAAAGAGCTCAGGGAGGCAAAAGCCATTGTGTGGGGTTTAGCACAGTGG